TTATTTTAATATTTATATATATGTGTGTGTGTGTGTGTGCGTGTGCGTGTGCGTGTGCGTGTACGATTGCGTGTGCGTGTGCGTGCGTAAATATGTGTGTATTATAGGGCGACTTCATATTGTAGTTGATATCAATTATAAATTGAACCACTTATGAGTGTGGTCGCAATATCACCCAGACATAATGTGTGTACTGAACACTGTGTTGTCTCCAATTTCTGTGCAGTTTTAAAAAAGCAAGCATCTATATTCATAGCTTCCTAAATTGTACTCTTATATTATTATAATTATTATTTTGTTTTTGTTTTATAAAAAAACAATCTTTTTGTTTTATTTAGTAGGCTATGATCCTTTCTGAATTTTCTTTTGTTGATGTTTTTCTTTTTTTATAAATACATATATAAGTCTGTATCGATAATTATATTGAAGGGATGACGATAAATATTTCGCTCTAAATAAATAAATACTTTAAACTCAACTCTGGGGGAGTCCGAGAGAGCCTTTCAATATTTAATATACAATTGTTTTTAAAAATTTGTATATTAGTATAGTCAAACGTATGTTCACATAACCTATTCTAAATTTCCTTTTTCACTTTATCAGTTCCCTAACCCTGTATAATTGCTCCATCAATGAAAACCAGTAAAGGAAGGCCAATTAGAATTTATCATCATTCATCATTGCCTTGCAGCAGAACAGCAATGAAGCATTGATTTTGTTTGTTTTTTAACTCTTTTGACTCTATATTTAGCACTCCAAGCTGCCTCACCTTTTGTGCCCTTCTGACTTTTAACGTATTTTTTTCTTAAATATTTACAATCGATATAAATAGTCATTTAGTACTATAGCTTTTTTCATAAATATTATGTCTAATTGTCTAAAGAGTATCTTTATTATCTAAATCTCAAGTTTTTATTTTTAAATATTGATGTTTATATATATCTATATATAAATATTTATCCTCGATTTAAAAAAAGGAATGACGGAGAAACATAAACTCGACGGAAAATTCTCGACTCTTTCTCAAGAGCAAACAATATTTATAATTTTATAACCAATCTTTTTTATTGTACAAACAATATTTTTTAATGATGTTTTTTTTAAAATATAAAACAGAAACAAAGTATTTATACCACTTTATGCTCAGTGCTGTGCTGGTATGAGGTCGCACGACGCGACAATACGATATGTCGTACGGAAAAACAGTTTCAAGTCGTATGTCGCATCACGTATAGATATAGTTACTCAACATGTTATGTTTATCATACATATTTACATCGGAAGTTTATACAATATTCAATTGTTCATGTTCCCCCATTGGTAAACGACGAAATCCCCCGTAATGATTGGCGAAATTTATAGATATTGATGGTTCACATTTCACAAGGTCAAATTGAAATTTCTTCACTCTTGAATCGGCCGTTTAAACTTTGAAGAAAAAAAATCCCGTAGAGTGACCCCAATGTCGCGACTTAGCTTTGAAGCCTCGAGCCCTCAAATCTGGAATCCCAACTTTAGATTCTCGAGCCTGTGAGACGAGCTTAGAGATTCAGATCTTAGATATCACACAGGCCAAAGGATCGTACCCGGACTACCCGGACTCTCTAGTAGACTCTAGAGTGTGACACGTGACTGCCCAGTCCCGCACTCCGCAGGCCGCAGCGGCAGGTGTGAGACTGTGAGTTGTGAGTTGTGACAGACTCCGGTCCTCCGCCGCTCCGGCCTCTCAAACACACGTTGAAAAAAAATCAAAAATGTATTTTTGAAAAAACACTCTACTTTATAAATTGTGCTGTTTGTATTTTGTTTTTTTAATAAATTATGTATGTAAATAGCATAGCCCGCCATGGTATAATTTATATTTTGTCTTAAAACAAAACAAAACAACAATTTGAAATTCAAAAACAAACAGTATTTTTTTTTATAAACAAAATGGCATACATATGTACAGCATATTTGCCGTGTCCACAAGAATCCAAAAAAAATATTTACACGCAGAGTGCCAGTATGAGAGGCAGCCCAACGAAAATATTGATCTATTGTATGTACAAATACTCCGACTCGTTCGATGAGTTACATCTGCCAATCCGCCATACTCTTATGTATATAAATAGTAAATTCAGATCAGAAGAGTTTTGATTTGCCCTCTCGGATTTTAGAGGCTGCTGTGAGTTCTGGACCCTCCCCCATAGCATCCTGAAATTAGAACCCGTCCAGGACCAGGTAGAGCCGCCTAATAGCCAGTGGCGGAATATTATTTTTGTGCGTACAAAGTTTCCTAATTTCAAATTGGGCTCGGTGTGAAAGTGAATTATATTTACGATGATGTTATGTGTGGTTGAAACCTGGCATAACACCACATTTCTTAATCATATCCGCTCGAACACACACGACCACTTCTTCCCATCAATCTTTCCTGAACCACTACAGCGACTATGAGAGCCATACCATATGTTCATACATTGTATCATACATACTTGCCATTTTTGGAATAAATAATATTATCCCTATAAAAGATGGCGGGACATGTATGTATGCGATCAAATTATAGCTTTATAATTCAAAACATATAGACATACAATACAAAATGGTTGGACAAGAAGCAAACAATGTGACTCAAGCCTGGGTTGTACCATCCAAAGGTGCTGCTCTCGAGCTGCAGACAATTGTCATGCAAGACATGACGCCAACGCAAGTGCAAGTCGATGTTAAATTTGTTGGTCTGTGTGGTACGGACCTGCACATGCGTGACAATGATTGGGGTATCACTCAATACCCAATGGTGATGGGTCACGAAGGTGTGGGTGTTGTCACCCATATTGGAGAGCGAGTGAACGGGTTAAAAGTAGGGGACCACATTGGTATTGGGTGGATCCGGGATTCGTGTGGCTCATGCAGATCGTGCATGATGGGCAAGGACAACTTGTGCGAAAAGGGTTACCAAGGTACATATCTCGCATCTGGAGCCGGATGCTGGGGCAAAGATGATGCCAGTATGAAGGGTTGCTTCGCCAAACAAATGCGTATCGAGGAAAAGTTTGCTTTCAAGCTGGAAGAGTCAATGAATCTGGAGCGAGTAGCGCCGCTTATGTGCGGTGGTATCACTGTGTGGGAACCAATTGTAGACTACGTGAAGCCAGGAACCCATGTCGGTGTACGTTCTCTTGGTGGTCTTGGGAATCTAAAGCACAAACATAAAAAGGAGGAACAAGCAAGGGAATGGGGTGCTAAGCATTTCGTTGCGACCGAAAGTGAGGAAGAGATGAAGTCAACTGCCGGTTCACTTGACCTCATTCTAGACACTTGCCTTTATGCACCTGAGAATGGAGATATGTCACCTTGGATAGACTTGCTATGCTTTGGTGGAACCTACTGCCGCCTGGGTCTCCCCGAGGTGTCTACTGCCACATTCAACTACGTTAGTCTTCACAGCTAAGAAAATTGTTGGTTCTATTGATTGCGGTTCCAGGAATACGACCGACAGTGTTCCGATTGGCAGTGGTTAGAGGTATCAACTGCGACGTCGAGGTTATGTCAGTTTCGCAAGTGAATGCAGCTATGAAGACTTTGGAAGAAGGTATAAACACCGAGAGTCAGATAGTGTCGCAGTGTAAGATTCGGTCTATCAAGGCGATATTAATGCTTTTGAGTAATTAAACGCGTAGGTTAAGGCTAAGTATCGTAAACATATCAAAGTATATAAACGAAATGAGACTTTCAGTGAAGTTAGGTATGCCTCGTGAAAACAGCAATACTCTGAGGGATTGTGAGACTGAAACATTGCCTATATAAAATACTCTCAGTACTTTTTCCGCCGATGGGATTTTATTTAGTGTTTCGTTGTCGCTTTATTAGAAACTGCGGTATGTTTCGTTGGGGCGAATTCGAGAGACTCGTAAAATTCTATCTTCAGAAAAACAGAAGAAGAAACAATTCTTGATGTCCTTGGTTATTGTCATAGCCATTAACTTGCCACTTATCAGGAATTACCGACTTAGCCTTCATAAGACTGGCACAACTGGCTGGCTGACTGGAAGATGTTTTCGGAAACTAAGTAACGTTAATAGTCGCTAGAAACCTATATTCGGTTGAGCCATCTCGCTACCTAAGTATTCGGATATTTAAAAAGTTGGAAAGTGAATATAGTTCTATTAATAGAACTAGACCAACTCTTATTTTTTGTCTTTTACTGGGTCTTTTAATGGCCTCGTCCAAATATCTGAAATGTAAAAAGGAACAGGTATTAATTAATAAAACCATTAAAACCCATTTAGGAAACTTAAGTTCGTCGTACTATTAAGAGAACGTTTATAGTTTACGTACTGCTTAATAGTACATTTATAACATAGAGTTTAATGTTGAGGCCCGGCTATTACTAGCAGTAGT